CCTCCTGGCCTCAAGTGATCCACCTGTCTCAGCCTCCTGAGTAGCTGAGGCTACAAGCATGCACCATCATGCCTGTATATACCTTATTTATGTATTATGTAAATATAACATTTATATTTTTTGCAAAGACCAGGTCTCGCTATGTTGCTCAGGCTGGTCTTGAACTCCTGGCTTCAAGTGATCCTCCCTCCTCGATCGCCCAAAGCACTGGGATTCCAGGCATGAGCTACCATCAGCCAGAGACTGATGTCTTGAGCAGGCTGCTGACTGCATCTCAGTGACACACTGTTCATGCCAGCAGTCAATGTGACAGCAGTGGAGAGGAGCAAGTGCGCCTTGTGCTGCAGGAGAGCCATCTGGGCCCTGGGTAGGGAAATCACAGAGCTTTTAGGACACTGAAAGCTGGCTTTGGGACAGGGGCTTTGGCAGGTCTGTGCCAGCCTGGATTATCTTTGCTTTCCTCTGCAAGGTTTGTCTGTTTCTGAGGGAGAGCCACTGGGCAGTGGTGAGTTGCAGCCTGCAGCTCTGGGTGAGACGCAGAGATGGCCCCAGACTCTGTTCTCCGAGAGGAAAAGGTAGTTGCTCTCTCAGAGCCAGTCCTGGGAGCACAGGATGGCTGGTAGAAATAATCCATGCTCAGGAAAAGCCTGTCTTTTGTATCTTGGCTTCTCCACATTTAAAAAAGCGTAGCTTCCCAATACGAATATAGCATTCACTCTGCCGGGCACTGACTGACCCCACGATACAGCCATATGAAGTTTAATGGCAGGGTTCAGGCAGAGAAGCAGACCCCTCTAAGGGATGTGGAATAGGGGTTTGTGTCGGGGGGAGACTTTCCACATGGTGGTTGCTAGTGCAGATGTCTTGGTAAGGCGGCTGCCTGTGAGTGTGGTGTTGGCCTGAAGTCCGCAGGTGTGCAGTTGGGAAAGAAGGCTGGGCAAGGACAAACTAGTGCCCATGAAGACAGCCCAGACCTGTATGTGACCCTCACTGTCTCAGCCTCCATGATATTGGGCACCCCGCGGAGGAAGCTGGCGCCTTTGCCACGGAGCTATACGCACACCTGTCTCATGACTCAGCAAAGCTGGGGTGGGGGATGCAGCATGGAGAATCCCTGGGCCCAGTGCTGCCCCCTCTCCCTGGGTGAGTCTGTGGAGCCACAGAACATGCCCAGCTGAGCTGCAGCAGCACTGCAGCTGCTTCACCTGCACCTTCACGGCGCGTGCAGATGTCTCTGCCAGTCAGCTTCATCTTGGAGCCATGTAGGAAGGAAATTCTCAGCAACATAGTTCCAGCTGAGCTCTGCCATGCAGTATATGCAGCCACTGTGAGGGGGGTCTCTTATTTTTTCCTCTTTATAGGTGGGACAGTGGAGGGAAGGAGAGGATAAGCGACCTGCCCAGAGCCACGCAACTAGTGGGGCTCCTGCTTCAGTGCCTTTGAAGCTGCCACCCAGTTCCTCTACATTTTTGCTCCAGGAAGCCCACCCCAGTCTACAGGAGCTGGACCTCAGGGCCCTCCAGTCCATCAGGAGCTCCCCCAAGATGCAGCCCCCCAGGTTCAGGAAGCTTCCTGCACACCCTCGATAGCCATGGTAGAGCTCAGTCCCAGTCTCTTGGAGGTTGAAGTTTCTTTTTTTCTTTTTTGAGAGTTTTGCTCTTGTCACCCGGACTGGAGTGCAATGGTGCGATCTTGGCTCACAGATCAAGTGACTGCCTCTGCCTCCCAGATTCAAGTGATTCTCCTGCCTCAGCCTCCCAAGTAGCTGGGATTACAAGCATGTGCCACCACCATGCCTGGCTAATTTTGTATTTTTAGTAGAGAGGGGGTTTCTCCATGTTTTTCAGGCTGGTCTCAAACTCCTGACCTCAGGTGATCAGCCCACCTTGGCCTCCCAAAGTGCTGAGATTACAGGCATGAGCCACCATGCCCAGCGAAGTTTCTTTACGTTTCCCCACGTTTCCTCATGTATACTTGTTTCTTGGTGACAAGCTTCCTGTGTTTCTCTTACAAGAATGCTAAGCAGGCTTGGTGGGGCTGACCGTGAGCGCCTGATGCCGCCGGCAGGTGGAGGAAATTTGTGTGTGAATGACGTGTTCGGACCCCTTAACAACAATTCCTACCTTTTATTGGCAGCTGCTCCCAGGGCACCCACTGTAGGTATTCTGCTGCCGCTTACAGAGGAGGAACTGAGGTCCAAATGTTTGTTTCCCGAGTAAGCCATGGAGCTCCGAGTTGAGCAAGGCCTGCTGGCACTGGGTCCGCCAAGCCCTGGTTCCGCAGCAATTTTAGCAGATGGAGGAAGGGCCACCACAACCATGGGTGGGCAGCACACCCCAACCCCTGTGCCCCAGGGGTCTAGATAGGGTCAGCACAGCTTTTCTGTACCTCTGGAAACGTAGGGAGGAGGGCTTTGCAAACAGAGACAGAATGGAGCCAGAGGGGTTTCAGGTGTCGGGTAAGCACAGTGAGAATTCAGTCTCCACATCTGGGGCCTCAAAGTTCTTGACTTTCCTGACCGCCTCAGTCTCCCAACCTGTGCTTCCTGAGTCCCATGAGCACCGGGGGCTGTTGATGTGTGAGTCTTTGGTCGTGTGTCTTAGTCAGGTCTAGCTGTGATAACAAAACACCGCAGACCGAGTTGTTCCTGAAGCACAGACACTTACGTGTCACGGTTCTGGAGGCTGCAGTCCAAGGCACCTGAGCATTCAGTGTCTGGGTGGGGCCCTTGTCCTGTTTCACAGGACGGTGCTTCTCACTGTCTCCTCACATGTGGAAGGGGCAAGCCAGTACTCTGGGGCCTCTCTTATAAGGGCCCTCATCCTGTTCCTGAGGGCTCCGTCCTTGCCACCTGATCGCCTCCCAGAGGCCCCACCTCCTCATCCCATCACCTTGGCGATTAGGTTTCCACGTGTGAATTTTGGGGGGACACACACTCATCATCATGTTCACCTTATTTTCTGTGGGTGCTGTCTCCTGGAACTAGGCTGAGTCCCTGCACAAAGGGAGCTTTGATGTGGGGCTCCTGACCCCTCCTGCTCTGTCCCCTGCTGTGTGCCCTCTGCATAGAAGGGATGGAAGATTTGTCAAGAGGCCCAGTTTGGGACAGTACTTACTGGTAATTTGAGGAGGTGAAACTTCGGTGAGGTGATTACTTTAAATAAGCTTTTAAATGTGAAATAATTGTAGATTAATAGAAGAGTTTTAAAGATAGTACAGAGAGTTCCCTCATCCCCTCCCTCCAGCCTGCTCTAAGGCTAACATCACGCATAGCCGGCACATTCATGAGATGACAGCACTAGAGACAGAACTCTAGACTCTTCTCCTGTCCCGTTTCCCTGTGGACAACCTTCCGCTCCAGGATCCAGTTTGGATGCTGTGTCGCATTTAGTTGTTGCATCTGCTTAAGTCTCCAGTCTGTGACAGTTTCTTGGTCATTTCTTGTGTTTTATGACCTTGACACGGGATGAGTAGTGGCTGGGCATTTTGTAGGATGCCTCTCAGTTTGGGTTTGTTTGATGTTGTTTCACAGTTAAAATGAGTATGGATTTGGGGATGGAACACCGTGGAGGGTAAACCCAGGCTGGAGTGCAGTGGCGCAATCTCAGCTGACTTCAACCTCCACCTCCCTGGTTCAAGCAATTTCCCTGCCTCAGCCTCCCTAGTAGCTAGGATTACAGGCATACACCACCACACCCAGTTATTTTTTTTTGTATTTTTAGTAGAGACGGGGTTTTACCATGTTGGCCACACTGCGTGACCTCCTGATCTCAGGCAATCTGCCCACCTTGGCCTCCCAAAGTGCTGTGATTACAGGTGTGAGCCACCATGCCCGGCCCTGTTTTCCCCTTTCTATACTCTGTGTTAGATTTGAGTCTCCAAGTCCAGCCCAAACTCAAGAGCAGGGGATGGGGCGGGGAGATTAATCTCTGACTCTTGGAGGAGGGAGTAGCAAAGAATTTATGAACATATGTTGCCAAAACCACCAACGCCGTCAACCCATATTTTCAGGGAGATACTTTGACCCTATACAGGTACCCACTTGCCAGTGAAGTGACCTTTCACCTGGCTTTGTTCAGTTTTGAACATGAAGCAGGCTGGCTGCCTCTTCCCAGGTTCTGACACGTGGTTTGTGAATTTGATCCATCAAATGTGTAGGGAGAAGCCGATTTCTTTGCCTGTGTATGATGCTGCATCAGAGTTCTGCTGGCAGTTGCATTTTAATATTGGGAGATCTGAAGGCTGTGTCTGATGGGGGTGACACATGGGAGCTTGAAGCAGAAGAGCTGGATGGGCCCCAGTGTCAGGAGATAGTGGTGCTTACTTTTTGCCTATGGGACTCACTTGTTTGCTTGTGACGGTAAGGTAACAACTTAGAGGAAGCGTTAAGATAACGTCAGTAGCAGACTGTATTTTTAGATGCTATTGTCTCTACCCATGTATATGTGAACTTTCAAATTGCCCTGTGTGTTAAGGGGAAAAAAATATGGTTGTAAGTAGCTCCAGCCATAACTGACCCCGCGGCAAATTCAGTTGGCTCTGTGTTGGAGGATTATTAGGCCAGTGGTGTGTTTCATGTTCCAGAATCCTCAGAACTGCTTGATGAGTTGTTATCTGTGGAAAATTCTATTTAGAAGAGGCTGTTCTTAGCATTCCAACCAACTGCTATTGATCAATGACTGCTACTCATTTTAGCAGAATAGTGGGAAGGCAAATCTCCTACAGGAAAAGAAATACATAATGGTTTTCTTTTCCATTCATAAAACTTTATTCCACTCACATGAATTTAATACACATGTTCGTTATCTGTTTTTGAGCATCTTTTCCAGTTCCTGGTGACATAATTGAGATGTGAAAGCATGTGGTATACCCCCACCTGGTGGCAGCATACCTGACTGACTATTTGTACTTGGAACAAAGCTATCTGTAGGGCAAGTGGGTTGCAGATGATCGGCTCCAGCAGGTGGTGAATTGCTGAAATCTGGAACTTTCTTTTGCAGGACGATTTCCTGTTCAGTGTCTCCATTTTAAGCGGGATTCTTTGCAGCATCCTGGCTGTGTTGAAGTTCATGCTGGGGAAGGTTCTGACCAGTAGAGCACTCATAACAGACGGTGAGTAAGGCCGGGGTGCCTGATCTCTGGGGGCTGAGCTCACGGTGGAGGAAGGTGGTGTTTGGGTTTCTCTTAGCTGCTTGCCTTGCCAGAGAACTCAATGATTTGGAATCCATTTCTCACTCTCCTACCCGCCTCAAGCTGCTTAATGGTTCTCAGAGCTCCCCTGTCAGGGCAGATATCGCGTACCCTGGGAATTTAATAAACTCTTCATAAATCACCTCTACTCTGACCTCCTAGCAGGGAGGCTCCGGGCTCCCCAGCCTCTTAATCATGAAGCACAAAGGGCTTCCTGGAGTCTTGGGTTTTATGTGCGTTGCTCCCCATAAAAAGTAAGTGCCTTTTCTGGATTCTATAAATGTTTCCTTTGTGGATTCTCCATGCTTGTTTTTCCTTTCAACTAGTGGGATGCTCGCCTGGGAGCTGAGGTTGCAGTTACCAGGTGCCTGCTCTGGGGAAATGAACTGTGTGTTCTCTGCTTAGAATCTCAACCAGCTAGAAGAGTCTGTGTGTGTCCCTGTGGGACAGGAGGAACTTCCTTTGTGACCTTAGGGATAACAGAGAGGGAGTGCATGAGTGCAGGAAAAGCACGTTTCAGGCCCCAGACTCTCCGAGACACTCACTGATGAATAGACAAGAAACTTGACAGGCAGTGCCACCTGGACATGTGGCTTTTATTTATTCCTGAGGATGTGCAGAGCCAGGGGTCAGAAGTAGTGCTAGGGGGTCAAAGGGCAAAAGTCTTTTGGGGATGGTGGGTGCGTCTGCACAAAATAGAGCAGAAATACTTGGATTCTTTAAAAAAAATGTATATATATATATGTGTCTGTATATATATGTATATATGTACACACATAAAAATGTTTTTTGTGTGTATTTTTTTTTTTTTTTTTTGAGAGATAGAGACTTGCCATGTTGTTGCCCAGGGTAGTTTCAAACTCCTGAGCTCAGGTAGTCCTCCCACCTCAGACTCCCAAAGTGCTGGGATTACAGGTATGAGCCACTGTGCCTGGCTCGATTGCTTTTTAAGGAATACTTCCTTGTCCCAAACTCTCAAGTCTCTTTTGTGTGTGAAGTGTGTGAGTGGAGATGTGCTGGTGACAGTGATGGTTGGCAGGGCCAGGGTGGGGAGGCCCTTCTCACCCACGTGACAGAGCATGGTGACATGGCGTAGGCTGCTTGTCTTATTGGATGTTGAGGACCTGCTGGGTGCAGAGCTGGACTTTGTACAGTGGGCAGAGCACAGGAAGCCCAAGTGATGTTTCCACCCTGGGACTGAGCTCTGGCCCAAGAGTCCATCTGCAGAGGTGGCGAGACTGTTGGTAGATGTGTGGGCAGGTCTGGGGGTGAGGGCAGGGTGTGGGCTGGTTGTCCTTGTTGGGGGGCCAGAAGTCCCTGTGCCCACCACCTGCCCCCGCTCCCCACTCCTGAGTCTGCAACACTGTCTTTTGGGAAGGCAAGAAGAGGCCCCCAGCTTTTCAGCCATGGCTATTCTCAGAAGAGCATCAACCATGTGCTTGGATGTGCATGGGGTTCCTTTGAACAGGCCTGAGGATGTAGGGGGTTACAGGACCTGACATCCTGACTGCAAAATCCCGGGACCCCAGACGCTCATCAGCTGACCACTCACCAGGCTGGCTGTACTGAAATTGCTTGGGGTGTTTGTTGAAAACACAGATTCCTGGACCCACCCCGAAGATTCTGATTCCAGGGGATTGGGTTGGGGCCTGGAAACTGCTGTTTTACACCAACGCCCCAGCCCACATGGTGCACAGCAAGGTTTGGTGCTGTCCCTGTTCCTGCCCCAGGGGCCAAGTACAGCATCTCCCCAGGGAGGATGGCCCCCGCTGTGCCCAGCACTCCCGCATACCATGTGACATGCAGCTCAGAGTCCTTCCTCAGGGGGCCCCGCCCCCACAGCTGCTGTTGGTTTCTGCCTTTGTGAAATGCTGCCTTGCTACCCAGGCTGAGGAATCCTTTAGTCCATATGAAACCAAAGCTATTTAGATAGTAAAAGTGGTTTGAAACGGCGAGAGGACTGACTGCCTTGACTGCTGGGGTTTGAGCCTGCCTCTTCCCTGTGCAGCTTTTAGCAGCGCGAAGGCCCCTCCACGGGCAGCAGGCGGGCAGGGCCCATGCCTCAAGCTCCAATGAAGCCCTGGGTTGCCACCTCCTGCCAGGCTGGGGGCAGTCAGGATCCTGCTGCCATCAGGTCCCAGGTTTGATGCTGCTGGAACATGAAGTTGCAGTGACATTGGCCCAGCAGGGTTTACACAGTTCTCTTGTGCCTGGTCCTGTGCTAGGTGCTGTGCTGGTTGGGAATCCAGCCCTGAAGCAGAGCCTCCCTTTCCGGTTTCTGCCTTCTTGCTGCGAGGCATCGTGCCCTGATCCCCAAAACATGGTTGCAACTCAGCCAAGTAACCCCTCTGCTACAAATACACATCTTTCTACCTGAGCTGGGTCTAAAGACCTTAAATCAATCAGCCTCCTGAGAATGACACAGCATACTGAGGCCACAGCCTGAGCATCTGGGGTCTCTGCCACCCACTGAGACATTTTAGAATTGTAGGCAGCTTGCATCCAGTTGACCCTAATGTATTTTCCTGCAAGACGTGGCTTCCTTGGCCCAGCCTTTCCTATCTGGGGCAGACCTGGGATTTGGGGTAGGGAGTTCACCCACTGGGATTTTCGTAGTCTGCTGCTTTGTGGTCTGAAAAAGCAAATGCCTTCCTTGGCCATGGAGCCCTCCTTTCCTTAGGGATGAGTGTAGCCAGGACGGTGGTGGGGGTGGGTGGGTGCTGTGCCAAGAGCGGAGGGATGAGTGGGCCCTGGCCAGGGCTTTGGGCTGGGACCTCCAGCTGCCTTAGAGGTCCCTTTATGTGGCTCTGAGGGCCATACTCTGGCCCAGCCCCTTAGGCTGCAGAGTGGAGGCCTCGCTGGCCTCAGCTTCCCTCAGCTGCCTACCTCCCTGGCAATGTCTTCTCACTAGAATAAGCAGGAAGGGCAGGAATCCCTGGGGTGGGCAGGAATCCCTGGGTTAGGCAGGATGGGTCTGAACAGCTTTCTGGGCTCCCGATGGTGAATCCACAGAGGCAGCTCCTCGGGCAGTTCCCGGGTGGGCAGTCAAGCCCCTCTGGCTTGCAGACCTCTGGCATCTTGATCTGCTCACTGACTGCAGTTGGGCTACAGACAGCCTTGCTGGCTGGACACCTGACTGTGGACCCAGCAGTCAGAGCCCCCAGCAGGAGTCCCTGGCCCCACCTGGCCCATGGCCATGGGGCTTGACACCCCCTCCTTGGAACACTGGCCCTGAGACTTGGTTGATGGTGTTTCCTAAGATTATAGATACTCCAGATACATGATCTCTGTCTACACTTCGCTGTTCTGGCTTCCACCATGTGATACGGTGTACACGGGAGAACATCAATAAGGCTGCTTTTCTCATAAAACAACTTCTGACTTGGATTTATGCACATGAATCCATCACACGCATAAGCAGTATTTCCATCATACTTGTGAACTAGGGAGGAGGTCATTAGAAGGAAAAGTGAGGAGTTTGGGTGAAAACTGTCTCACAATCAGGGGAAAAGTAGAGAACAGCGGTCCTCCAGGTAGAGGGAGTCTGAGGAAGGGGCATGGGGGGGTCCCTTCCTTCCTCACTCGGAAGTGGGGGAGGGCAGAGCAGGGAGGGGCTTGAGGTCTAGGGTGTGATTTGGGATATTTTGCCAAATGTTGAAACAGGTAGGGTGATATGATTGCTGTTTTCTGCAGAGTCCTCTGGTCATTGGTGGTGGGGAGCAGAGTGGAGGGAGCTGGGAGCTGAGCAGGGGGAGGCCTGTGGAGAGGAGGCAATAGCAGCTTGGATGGGGTGAGGGAGAGGGTGTGGGAGGTGGTGGGGTAGGTATAGGTGGGCAGTGGAGGGATGAATCAACCAAGTGGCTTTGATGAGAGACAGAGAGCAGAGGCAGTGCCCCACCCCTGAGCCTGTTCCCAGGGGGCGCTGTGCTCTGTGGCCCCACGATCTGCTAGGTGGTGTGTTGCTGGCAAAACATGCAGGAGTAATTATAGCCTCCTGCTAATTCTACTGTCTGGGATCTGGGCCTTTTCCATTCATTGATTAGCAGAACTAGGGAGTGATCTGTAATTATCTCCTCTCTGTTCTTTCCTTACTTTGGAAGGTGGGCGGGCAGGATGGGGTCAGGGAGCCATGGCTGTCATCAATGTTGGGGGTTCCCTGTGGCTGCCAGCCAGGCTGCGGCTGAGCCCAGCATCCTCTCTGGCGGGGAGGGCCGGCCTCCCCTGTCACCTGGCAGGGGCTGGCTGAAGTGGGCCAGGCTGACCCTGCCAGCTGCCTTGCTGTTCGCTGGGGCGTCCTTATAGCCAAGAAGCAGATCTTCAGGGAAAGAAACAGCAGGATGTGGATGATGGAGACTGTGGAGAGATTCCCGACTTCCCCACTTTACCCTGTGCGTGCAGTCAATCTGGTCTGATCTGGTTTATTGCTTTGGGTGTGTCATTGTCATGGGTTTGTTCCTATCGGGACGACTGGGCTGAATCTTGCTTTTTATTAGTTAGGGTAATGTGATTTTATACAACAAACACATACTACAAATCAGAGGAAGAGTGAGAGGGCCCTGGGGGAGTGCTCTGGATGAGGGGTGCAGCTTCAGTCCTATGGGAACAGCTGGGGTGAATCTGGAAACTCCTCTGAAACAGGTGTGTGCTCTTCTGCTTACGTCCAACTCTCAAGTACCCATCCGCGATGATCTTTCAAATGCACAAGAAACTTTAGAATATTCTGCACACAACAAATGTGTTTAACTACACAGATCCTGATCCAGTTGGCAAAGCCAGACTGGGGGAGCTCTAACCAGGATGGCCCCAGCCATCGTGTTGTACCTAAATTGATGACAGCATTTCTTCGCTAGAGCGGCTCTGTGGTCCCAGCTGTAGGGAAAGGGCCAAGCTCGTGAGGCTGGCCCTACAGAGGGGAGTGACGGCCGGGCCTGCCTGCTGTGCTGATGCGGGCTGGGGACTCAGAGCTCTTCATGTGGAGTAAAGGATGTTTGGAGTGATGCCCCAGGTGGCCACAGACTCAGTCCCCAGTCCCTGTGTGCTCAGTCCAGCATCCTCAGGCAGACTCACAAGAAGTGAAGCCGAAATGAGTCAGGCTCTGTCATCACAAAAGGTGAGCTGAGCTGGGCAGGGCAGAGTCCCCTCCTAGAAGATATGGCAAACAGGCGACCCTGTCAGCAGTCTCTCACCTGTGGGCCATCGGGGAGCGGCTGGTGGACCTGCTGTCAGGAGCAGCAAGCTGGGCTGGCCTTGGTGCTGGCTGGCTGAGCGGATGACTTGGTGGAGCTGAGTGGACATCTAGTGGCTGTCTGGGGAACCTCACACTCTTGGCCTCTTTTCCAAGTAGGAGCTGACTTGGGCTTCCTTCTCCTGAGGTGACTGATGACCGCAGGAGCCGGGCAGGGGTGGTTCCCTCCCAGGACCCAGCGCTCAGACCCGGCCCCTGCCTCCTTCCTCTGTGTGGTCACTCATTAATGCAGTGGTCATCTGCACCCCTGATGAAGGCCGGGCCCTGTCCTGGACTTCAGATACTGCAAGGAGATACAAAGTTCCTGTCCTTAAGTTTAGGTTTCTAGTGAGAGAGGAGGTGGATGGTTAAAATGGTGAAGCTTGCATGTTAGCTGGAGGCAGAAGGGTATCAGGCAGAGAGGAGGAGGTGTAGGGGCTGGGGGCTGCGGACAGGGCTGGGAGGGAGGTGACCTTCAGTGGCGAGGCCCTGGGCAACAGTGAGAAGTCCAGTGGCCCTGAGGCGAGGGCAGGGCAGCTGTCACAGGGTCGTGTGGCTGGATCCGAAGGGCCTGATGGGATCTGAGCCGATGATGGGGGCTTTCCTGCCAGAGAGTCTGGCTGCTGCTCACTGACAGAGGGTCCCCTTCATGGGGAGACCCTAGAAGCCACCCTAAGCCATTCCCTTCCCATGTGGCCTTTGACAGCTCAGGTCAAGTAGAAGTATCACATGTAAGCTTTGAGACCCAATGGGCTGCTGTGTGAAGGAGATGGTGGTCGGTATCTAGTAGCTCCAGTTCTGTTTTTATGGCCATTTCTCCAACCATGTAGCTAATACTTTGCAAAAAAACAACATAATAGACTTTACATTTGTCTTCTGGAGGAAAAGGAAAAATCCTCAGGTTACTTAGAGGAGACTTGGGAAAGGATGTAGGTTTGGGTAGAATCCCAGCCCTTCTTAACCTGGATAACCTCCATCAATGTATTTAATGTCACTGCTAGTTTTCTCATCGGCAAAAACAGGGATGATGACGATAATGTGTCATCACAGGATTGAGAAGATTTATAGGTAACTGCACATCCTGAACACCCAACTCAGGATCTGGCCCAGCAGATACTCAGATATGAGTCCCCAGGTAATCTGAATGTCTACTGTGAGCCCAGAGCTGTCTTGGGCACTATGGACTCAGCAGAGAACCAAACCCTTGCCTCTAGGAGGCTTGCGTTCTAGCGAGCATGGGGGAGACGGGCTAAAACCACACATGGCGTCAGTTCCCGGAAGAGAAATAAAGCAGGTACAGGATGATGGTGGGGGTGACAGCTCTATTCTGGGAGATATCTGGTGACATTTGGGCAGAGACTTGATGGGCCCAGGTGGTGGCTGTTACTCGTGAGAGTTTTGGGCACTGTTCCTTCTGGCACATGCTCCAGTGTGTAGAGGCAGGACTGGCATTTGGGTAATTTTCTTGGATTGCTTGGCTCTGCCATCTAGCCTCTCTCTGCTTCCTTTGCAGGGTTTAACTCCCTTGTGGGTGGCGTGATGGGCTTCTCCATTCTTCTGAGTGCGGAAGTGTTCAAGCATGACTCAGCGGTCTGGTACCTGGACGGCAGCATAGGCGTTCTCATCGGCCTCACCATATTTGCCTATGGGGTCAAGTAGGTTCTTGTGCTTTCCTCTTTGCTTTCCCGGCAGCCAGGAGCGCCACTTTTCCACCACCTTCCTCAGCCAGGAAATGACAAAGTAGGCTTCTGAAGGTCACCTTTTGTACCTGTGCCCCTCCTGAGCCTGACCAGTGTCAGGTAACTGGAAAAACACCCAGCAGAGGTCAGATATTCTTGAGGCTGGCACAGAAGTGAGGGAGGGACAAGAGGCTTCAGGCCTTTAAGCCATAAAGGCACTCCTTTCCTTCCATCTCATGCCTTTCAGAGCCTGTGTCCTGACATCTATGCTCCTTCCTCTGTCTTCATGATGCTCCAGGGAAGCACCTTTACGTGGTTTCCTTGCAAGTGGAGCCCCTCCTGCCACACATGTGGGATGCGACAGTGTGCTGGCCAGAGGCTGCCAGTCTCTGGACTTAAGAGAAGTTCTGTGAAAGGGGACTAGTCAGTGCAGAAAGGCTGTGCAGCATCACTGACATGGGCTTCAGCACCCAGGCTGGAGCTGGCCTTTCCGAGAACCGTTTGTTTCTAAAGGGTGCTGTGCTTTTCAATGTTAAAATGCTTCTATTCCTCAAGGAAAGGTAGGATGGCTATCATCAAAAAGAGGGCCACCTGCAAGTGTCGGTGAGGAAGTGGAGCCTGCATGTATGGCTGTAAGAATGGACAATGGTGCAGCCGTGATGGCAGCTCCTGAAATTGTGAAACATGGAGTTACCACGGGCCCCAGCTGTCCATGAAATAAACAGCAGGGTTATTCATAATAGGCAAAATGTAGGGCCAACCCAACTGTCCACTAACTGGTGAATGGATAAATGTGGTAGAGCTCTGCAGCGGCCTCTTACTCAGTCCCAACAAGGGACGAAGCGCTAATACTGGCTACAACATGGATGGAGTTGAAATGTTACAAAGGAAGTCACAAAAGGCAACGTGTTGTGTGACTTTGTGGGTTTGCCTATTCATATTTTATATAAACAGAGGCCAGGAGGGTGCTGCTCATCAGGTGTGGGGAGGATGGGGTGTAACGCTACAGCAGGCACGGGGTTTCTTTTTGAGACGACACAAATTGAATATACAAAAAACTACTGAGTTACATAGGTGAATTTTGTGGTATCTGAATTATCTTAGAAAAAAAAATGAAAACATGTTTCCCCAAAGCTCCCAGCCCCATGCGGTGGAGGGTCTGGTGGGGAGATGACTTTGTCTATCTTGTCTCTGCAGACTCCTCATCGACATGGTGCCGAGGGTGAGGCAGACACGTCACTACGAGATGTTTGAGTGAAGGGGGCCAGCGTCTGCATGAGACCATCGAGGTTAGAAGTTTCCACATAGGCAAAGGGTGCCAATATTTAACTGAACATCTGGTTTCTTTTTGGAAATTTTCTTTCACACCGTCTGTCGTTACAAGACAAGGTCTGCCCAGCCAGGTGGATCTACCTTGCCCCCTTCACTTGCTGCCCCCATCAAACATGTTAGGACAACGCCCCTAGGAGGGGACCCGCTTCCCCATCTCTAGCCGGAACTGACGTTTTCTATTCTCTGGAATACGATGGTTCTCATGAGGAGGATGAGACCTTTGCTTGGCAGAAAGGTCTTTGGTGGTGCTCTGAGCCTGCACTGCATAGGACTGAGCAGACCCGCCGCCTCCAGCCTGTGTGGCCCTGCCCCTCCTGGTTCCAGGTCTCTCCTCTCCTGGCAGGTCTTAAGGGAAGATTGCACCCCTCACCCTTTATACACCCAGAACCATCAGTATGTCACTTCCTAATTTCTATCAGTGTATCTCATTAGTTTCATACTGTTTTACTAATCCTAAATCTAAACCGATTTGCTCAAAAGGAGACCATTCTATTTTTTAAAGTACTTAGTGATATATGTATAAGCTTTGCATGGACGAATTCAATAAGCACATGACCCTTTCTTGTATATTCAGAACCTGAACATCCATGTGAAAACTGGATCATTTTTGGGAGATGTGAAACTACAGTTTATTTGTAATAAATAATTGTAATCTATCGATATATGCATATATCTATAAGCTGTGTTACGTGGTAATGGTATATTACAGTCTGAGAGACGGTTCGCTGCTCCGTAAGGAACAAGACGTTCCCAGCTGATGTCATGGTAGGTTTAGATTCCATAGCAGTGTTCCCCAACCTGCAACGTTCTGTACCTCTCGCACCACTGCTTGCCCGGGCAGTAGTGTCTGACCAATAAAGACCTTCACCGTTTTGTATGGTTTGGGAAGACTATCTTTGGGAGTCGTCCCTGTGCGGCACCAACACATGGGGAGTCCCGTCATGGGCAGGTTTTTCACTGTGGCTGAGGGATGACGTGGAAGGGGAAGCTTGTGCCTAGGGGGCCTGAGTGTGGAGCCCCGAAAGACTGTGACACAGACCACCCCCTCTGACCACTCAGGTAGGGGCTGTACACTCACCTGGCAGTGCTGGAGGCTGCTCTTGCCTGGAGCTGAGGGACAGCTGCGCCCAGTTGGGGCCCTGTTTCCCCTCCAGGCTGGTGGAGGGAAGGGAGTTTGTTCTGTGAGGTCATGGAACCTTGGCCAGTACCATGCTCACAGGTGGCTTCCCCAGTAGTGCTCTGAGGAATATGTTGGGGGAGGTTAACATGTAACATGAAACTAAAGCAAGTGTGGGAAGTGTAGGATCCTGTTGGTTTCTCTTCTGCTGGTTTTCTTGTTGGGTCTAATATGGAAGCTCAGGGAGGGAAGCTAACAACTCACTGTGGTGGCGTTGCCCAAACACAGGCACTCGGCTTTCCCTTGACACTTTTTCAGGACTTGTGTTCCAACAAGCACATGCTGTGTCAACTGTGTGGTGTCTCCATTCTGGTCCGCCAGCTTGAGAGAGGCCATGCAGATGAGGGCCAGTGTCACCTGCAGACAAACTGTCAGGACTAGATCCTCCCTGTCTCCAGGGCACTTGCCTAACCAAATGCTCACGGCTCACTGCTTCCTGGCTCCGAAGCTGCTCTCCAGAGGGAGAAATCTTTTCCAGGTCCAGTGTGTGCTGGTGCTCAGCCCCTTGTAGGGCTATTTTCATTAGCTCATTCCAAAAGATTTTTATTTATTAGCAAATCACTGGTGCAGCGTACAATTATCTCAAAGTCTAGCAGTTCACTTTCTAATTCAATTCCCTTCTAGGGGAAGGCAGCCCAAGGAGAGTGCTCAGTGGTGGATGTGACGTAAGGGCAACAGTAGTAAAACCTTCCCCTCGCCACTCCGTAAACACACCTTCCTGTTTGTCTTGCTAGCAGCAGTTTCAGCAGTGTGCTGCAAACTGTGAACTGCAGCTGGGGGAAGGTGTGTTGGGGACACACCTGGACAGCAGCTCAGCTTTGTTCTGGAGGTGACCCGGCATGCACATAGCCCCCCAAAATCACTTCCACCTGTCACACAAGAAGAGTTTATTGAAAAATAAAGTTCTCCCTAGTTTTCCCTACAACAGTGGAAAACAAAGCAGTGCTCTCTATGCCAGTACAGTACGTTTGGACAGCAACACCTTGTTTGCAGAATCCTGCAGTACTTCACCCAGAAGTGAACCATAGAAAATGGCTGTAACAGGATCTGTTTGAAGACACAGATGCAAACGGCCATTAGCTTAAAGACATCAAGGTTGTGACAGCAACTACAGAAGGGATGTTACCATCTCCTTTGGCATCAACTATTATGCTATGAATACTTGGGTAGGAAGCAGTTAGCAAAATGCTTCCCAAGTTCACTCCCTCTCAGCTTTGGCAGATGGGAGACTGCTCTGAGGTTCCTGGCGTGCTGTCCCGAGAGGCGTTTAGGCCTCCAGCACCACAGATCCTCTAAGTACCCACCCTGTCCCCACCATCCTCCATCAACAGTGGCCCTACCCACCACATAAGCATAGGGTTCCCCAGCTGTGGGGTCAGGGTGGCAGTGAGGGAGTGTCTTAAGGCTCCACAAAACCTGGGCTAGAGAGATGCTTTGCAGACGGGAAATTCCAATCAAGCACTGCATCCATAGGACTATGAGACTGCTGATTTGGCTGAAGAGAATCCAAAGGAATTTGAAAAAGACACCAAACTCCAGCAAATTCCACACCTGCAATCTATCCAGAGTTGTGCCAAGACAGAGCAGGAGATAAGGAAATAAAACTTCCAATCCACCAGGGAAGTAAAAGGCTAATCTCCTCCCAAAACAAAAAGCAAACTGATATTTAGGTGATTTGGGAAAATATTCAACTGTGAGCAGCCTCTAGGAGCTGTTCTGAGAGGCAATCCCTGCCCCATTGCCCCCATCTGGCAGGGTGGGGTTGGGTTTTCTCTGGGACCAGGCCAGGGAATAACCTTTAATTTGATGGAAACATGCAGAGCTAACCAGCCTGGGAGTCCGATCCCTGAGGACAGGAGGGGCCACCCCAGCCCCTAGAGGGCAGCAAAAGACCTGCTTGGGGGGAATGTGTAAGTTCAACTGGTCGGCCATCCCCCCGTTAACGCAGACAAGCCTCCATTACTGCAAAGGAATACTGTTAACTTTGACTCAAGGGGTGCAGTCTGTCAGAGAACGTTTCAATTTCTGCTCAAAAATGCTCCTTGAAGAAAACCCCTGGAATGTTCTGAAAGACATCAGTGGGATAGGGTCCATGGCTGGCCAAAGGTCACCTTTAACCTTTCCAGCTGGAGTCCATAAATTCTTGCAGCCTTGTTTCCTTGGGGGCTGAAGTCTGGCATATTTTCAAACCAGTACATTCAAGAATGCAGTAAAATGCCAACCAGCAGGGTAGGCCCAGAACTAGGAATACTCTAAACCAGTAATTCCTAAACCTACAATCAACTTGGAAACATGTTTTCATGTAGATATCATTTTTGAATCAACAGGAAGGGAATGAGCTCAGCTCTTTATTTCTCAAGTTTTAGGAAACACTAATGACAATACTGAACATGTACTAGGGCTTACTATGTGCCAAACACTGTGCTAAACACTGAATCCTCACAAAACCCTAAATGCTAAGAAAGCTAGGGTAATTTTTTTCTGCATTCAAAACTCTACAGCTAATTTGGTCTTTTGCTATACAAACTTGGTCTCCCACTTTTTGTTGAAGCCAACAAGAATCACAGGAACTCACCCTCAGCTTCACCCCATTTAGCAAACTCCCAGCTTCCTAAATGAGCATGAATCTATTTCTGTCCATCCATCTACTCACATGAAGATGCTCTGCAGCCCCACAGGGACGGATGGGATTAGAATAAAGCCAATAGGGAAGTTAAAATGCTTTTAAATAAATAAAATAATCCAGGCTTGGGATAGTAACACATACAACACAGCCTGTCGTTAACAAAATACTTTTTTTTTTAAATCAAGAATTTTTGGCCAGAGGAGAGGGTGGCAAATGTCTAATTATATACACACGCTAGGTAAACCACCTTGGAGAAAGGGGGTGGCCACCTTGGTCTGCTCTAGAAAGCACACAACTACCTATAGACATATAGTTCCAGTCCAACACATCACACTGATGTCAGACCCTGCCAGTGAGTTGTACTGGGCTCCACTGCCAAAGGGGAAGCTCATTATTCACCTTCATTACATCTTGCATTCACTAAGGAAACAAAAAAGGGGTGCACGTCCTTTCCCTTTCATGATGCTAACTAGTTCAAGTATTTCTTCTCCAAGCAGGGCCTTGAACTCATTGGATGCACCCGCTCACATGCTTCTGCCTCAGCCACACCTCAGCAAGTGCGTGGTGACAGGGAACAAAGGTCACTTGGCACACTGGCAACCAGCAGTCTCAAGGTAGACCAGAAGGTATGGCAGAATCCAGCCTTTTCTTGAGGTTCTCAAGGCTTCATACCCACCTCTGGGGGTGAATGCATACATGCTATGGCCTGGCATGGGGGTGGCAGGGAGCTTCTGCTGTCCAGTCTGAACAGCTACAGTGACCCAAGGACATGTCCTATCTCTTAGCTGGAGGAGTCTGCTATTGCCCTTCAACAGTATCCAGATTCCAAAAACCCCAAAGAAAAGCGAAAAGGCACATTAAGGAAACAAATATCACCAAAGAAACAGACTACTATCTCCAAACGCACAGCAAACACACAAAAAAGCAAACTAAAATGAGCAGTGACAAAAATCCAGTCCAAGCAAAAATAAAAAAAGCATCTCCATTTATACATGTGCAAATCAAACTGCATACACGAAATAAATGAGGTGTTTACTGGCATTTAAAGAAGTCTTTTTACTCCTGAAAGTATTTACCTTTCAATGGAAAGCTTTCTCTTTTAGTAAATTAGATAAATGTTTTCCCTCAAGTTTTTTAAGAGCTTAGGATCACAATGGGGAATATAATCCAAAACAAGAGGCAAGATATGATTATAGTGCAGAAAAACATTAATTATGACTTAGGATTTCTCTCCCCATGGAACTGTTATCAACTATAAATCGGTTTAGGATTCTATCAAGATTAGCAATGGCAAACCCTCCACAAGCTCCCACCCAGCGGGCAGGGGCACCTTCCTCTCCTCTTCCATGCAGGGCTGAGGGAAGCCCCACCCCATTTCCTCTCCAGGATCACTGAACACACCTGGGCCAAGTCTGAGGAGGCCTGGGAGTCAGTACACACTCAGGGGTCACCGACTCTTCAGATAATGCCCTAAATAACTGGAGTGTTGGCCTGTTTGTTCCAAGAGCAGCTGCCCTGCCAGTGGACCTCCCGCTCACTTCCAGCCAATACTGGACTTGGGGTGATGAAAGAGGAATTTTTAAATGGGAGAAAAGTACTCCTCTGGGCTGCCTGACCCTGGAGGGTAGGGTCGTGACTTGGAAAAGAAGGGGAAGGTAGGGAGGCCTTGAACTTAGGGACAGCCAGTAAGTGATCCCTGCAGCTTCTGGAACCCAAGGCAGAGCTAACTTACTTTTCAGCTTTCTTGCTTAAGCAGCAGAGGCTAAGTGGGTTAAACTTCACTCAGCCTGCAGGCTCCCCCTGCTGGTCAGATGCTTGCATTGACATCCTCAGTGTTCACTGCTCCTGGAAGACCCCAGGAGAGGGCGGTGCTGGCCCAGGGATTGCAGGTCAGAGAACTGTAGCAAATGCCCACACCCTACAGCCAAGAGGCCTGTTCACAAGGAAAAGCTCTTCCTCACAGCAAGGATAGCAGTCATCTGCCCTCCTACTCCAGGAAACTGCCCTTGCAAAGCTTAAAGAAATGCACATGCTCATACACATACACACAGTCACCAACAAGGTTTCCTTTGGACTTCC